TACTCTTTAAAAATAGAAAACACTTCTCCGTATGAGATTTTAATTTCATCCAGACTATCGTTTTGATGAATTAAAGCAGTTGGTGACAGTGGGTACTGGTTGTTCAGTGTAATAATACACCACATTTGATTTAGATTTAAGCTGTCAAAAGGATGAAACTGTAATAAAAGGCCCCTTTGATAATAAATAATACATTGGAAAGTACACACAGTACTTCCCTCGTGTTTAAGAGTCCCTTACAATCAGTTTTTTCCTTGTTTTTCTGTCCTAATGGGTGTATTATGGCTTAAGCTATACTGTTATACCTTAAGTTGTCATCACCAATACTGTGCTCAAACTGCCTCTTTCAGTTTCTTATCTTATCTCAAAGCATCTGATGACAGTCCATTTAAGCACTGTGTGATATGCGTGTTGTAACTGAGCTACAGTTTGTGTGTACTCTGGACATAATAGGGGTCATGAGGCTTTCTGCACAGATGACTGTGGAGATAATTGACTTTGGAGCGAGCCTGTTCTGCGGTTTCGTCAGGCAGAAGGGAGCTGAGTGTGGTAAAGAGCCGCTGGATGAGGGGTTTGTGACACGTTACAGCGCAGTATAGGACACGCAAAAAAAAAAAGCAAAAAGCCTGTTTAACTCAACCATTTATGTTTGACACATCCTGCAAGAGCTGCCAAGTCTGAAATAATTTTTTACAGGGTATGAAAATGTGTTGGAGGAAAAGAATGCCTTGAGAACAAAGCCAGTTTTGAGGTTGGTTAGAGTTTTTCTTTTTTAGGCATAGATTTCATGGACACTTAATTCCTAATGCCAAAAGGGTTCTAATGAGTTGTGTTGTTTTCTCAGTTAATTATCAATTTTACCCTTAAATTATCATAAAAATGTTTATACAGTGAGTACAAAGCTCTGGACATGAAGCTTTTTAGCTCCGTGCAAGAACAGTCTGAATGAAAGATGTTCATGGAAAGAGGGAGTGATCACGATGAAAGACCTCGCTGACATCCAGTGTGCTTCGGTAGGAATTAAGTCAAGATTATCCTCTCGAGATTATCAGTATTTCAAAAGAAAATGAACATGTCTTATGTAATGTAATTTTATAACTAGGTTCGGGAACAAAGACCACGCCTCGAACACATCCCATTTCCACCCAAAAGTATTTAAGCACACCTGATGCATTCTCTTTCTCTTCGACGCATTTCTCACATCCCACCTGACCAACCCCTTCTCACCTCTTACATCTTTTTCTCTGCTCCTTTCTGCATACAGGAACCAGTGGGAGCTCTATCCGAAGCCAAGCTCACAAAGAGACAACTCCCCTACTCAGTCTCACTCCTGGGATCCCTCCTGCGTTCCTGCCTTCAACCAACACATCCATCATCACGCTTGCCCGCTACCTAGAAACCCAGCCTTCATCCCTCAACCCTCAGTCTTCCATCCCTTCATCCTGCAACCCTCAGTCTTCCATCCCTTCATCCTGCAACCCTCAGTCTTCCATCCCTTCATCGCTCAAACCTCATCCCTTCATCCTCATCCTGTCATCCCTAACCTTTCATCCCATGCTTCCCTCAACCCTCATCCCCTCATTCCTCCATCCCTCAACCCTTCACCCTCATCCCTTCATCCCTCATCTCTTCATCCTATGCGTCCCTCAACCCTCATTCCTTCATCCCTCAACCCTTCACCCTCATCTCTTCACCCCATGCGTCCCTTGACCCTCATCCCTTCATTCCTCACTCTTCATCCCTTGATCCTAATCCTGTCATCCCTAACCTTTCATCCCATGCTTCCCTCAACCCTCATCCCCTCATTCCTTCATCCCTCATCTCTTCATCCCATGTGTCCCTCGACCCTCATCCCCTCATTCCTCCATCCCTCAACCCTTCACCCTCATCACTTCATCCCTCCATCCCTCATCTCTTCACCCCATGCGTCCCTCGACCCTCATCCCTTCATTCCTCACTCTTCGTCCCTTGATCCTCATCCTGTCATCCCTAACCTTTCATCCCATGCTTCCCTCAACCCTTCACCCTCATCCCTTCATCCCTCATCTCTTCATCCCATGCGTCCCTCAAACATCATCCCCTCATACCTTCATCCCTCAACCCTTCTCCCTCATCCCTTCATCCCTCATCTCTTCATTTTATGTGTCCCTCAACCCTCATCCCCTCATTCCTTCATCCCTCAACCCTTCACCCTCATCCCTTCATCCCTCATCTCTTCAATCCCATGCGTCCCTCAACCCTCATCCCCTCATTCCTTCATCCCTCAACCCTCCAGCCTCATCGCTTCATCCCTCATCTCTTCACCCCATGCGTCCCTCAACCCTCATCCCTTCATTCCTCACTCTTCATCCCTTGATCCTAATCCTCTTATCCCTAACCTTTCATCCCATGCTTCCCTCAACCCTTCACCCTCATCCCTTCATCCCTCCCCTCTTCATCCCATGCGTCCCTCAACCCTCATCCCCTCATTCCTTCATCCCTCAACCCTTCACCCTCATTCCTTCATCCCTCATCTCTTCATTCCTCATGTCTTCATCCCATGTGTCCCTCGACCCTCATCCCCTCATTCCTATATCCCTCAGCCCTTCACCCTCATCCCTTCATCCCCATCCATCTGACCTCGACCCTCATCCCTCATCCTTTCATTCTCTAAGTTCTCAATCCTCACCCCTTCACATTTTCATCCAAACTCATAATCAATCAAACTCAGTAAACCATTCTAAATCGTCATCTTATTGGTGTGGTCTTTGTCAGTGAATGAAATATAAATATATGATCTTTCCAATTTATACCTCAGGACGACAGGATGAACGATGACCTTCTCCGATCCTTTGGGAAACATGTCATGTACATCCTCAAAACTTTTGTTCGGTATAAAAACTTTATGATGCATGGTTTGAATAATGACCGATTGCAACGTATTACATGATTTTAAAATCAGCTCTTTTTTGATTTACACTCCTTTTTCAGGACAGCGGTATTATTTTAATTTTTGGATGATGGATATGAAGAACATCCGTATATCTTTTTCTGAAGTTCTCACTGTTCTGCACAGTCACAGTGTTGGAGTCATAAACCTATCATTAGTCATCATTAATCCTCAGGTCTCTCTTGAAACTGGCTGCTCCGTAGTGTACCCTGGAGGTATTACATTGCCCATAACTACCCTTGGCTTTAAGGCTATGACAGAAATTATGACCTTAATAAAGTTGACTTTGCAATATTTGCACGCATAAGCATCTTACAGCTGATACAAAAAGACTGTCTGGCTCTGTTTTAGGGCTCCCACGGGCTGTCTCTTGGCAGGCGGTGGATGTCTTCATGACTTAACGGGCCATCAAAGAGACTCAAAAATCCTTTATGAATAACGTCCACATGGCCAGTTCAGCAGTGCCACTTGTCATTTACCTTCTTAATGTGAAATAGTAGCATTACACGTCATGTATGATGAAATTTCTTCACATTTATTCCTATTAATATTTGACAAAAGCACTCAGGGGTTATCCAAGCTGTAGATAAATATTACATCAGAACGCACCATAGCTGGTAAAGTAATGCATTTTTACACCTGAATAATGAGCCAATAAAACACATCAAACTGCCCACATGCTCATCTGAGTCATTTCACATTTAAGCCACAGTCTCATCTTTGTTCCTCCACGATGGCAGACGTCGAACTGCATCACAGGCCGTCATAAAGATGAGGTGATGATGTGTTATTTTCAGGGCTCTGGCTCTGTTTATTTCCTGGCGACTCCACAAAAAAACAAACAGCCTGCGCTGTAACTTAATTCTCAGGATAAATCCTTCAGCAGGATAAGTGTAGCTGAATGTGGCTGGTGTTTATCCAGTAGTCCTTCTCATCGTAACACTGTTGATAAATGTCACAGTCTCAAAAAACAAAAGAATGCTGCTCTGCGTGATCTCCAAGAATTGTTGTTTATGGCCCCCTGTTGGATAACAGGGAAATGGAGACTTTTTCTGATATTTAAAACTGCAAATATAGACTGATTGTGTTTTAACATGATCAAGAGTCCTCAAGGATTGTGATATGTTCCTTTTGGTTGTTTTCTTTTAAATGATTTTGGTTTCTTGTTTTATTTTGATTTGGTTTTGAGAGAGACACAAGATTAAATTAGCAGCAATATCATGATTTCTTTACGTGTTTGGGTTTTTTTTTTCATCTCAGATTTATGCTGACAGAAAGTTATTTAAAACTAACAGCATTTCCAAGGACACTGTTGAATAACTGTGCCAGTTCAATAATCACAGCTAGAGACTGAACTCATTATAAACCACTGATCTAATAACCCAATAACTTGGTGATTGTGACATAACCTCTTTGTCTCTTTCTGTTCTTTGCTTCATACTTTTACATTTTGTACTTTGTCATGTTTCAGTTTCAATCTTGCTCTGTTTTTTTCCTCTGTGAGGAACTTTGTGTGCTGCATCTTTCCTGCACAGAATTAGGCAATTTGAAGTTCAAGAGGACTTATGGCTAAATAAAAGTTGCATAAATGAAATTAATATGGGACCATCTCCTGTTTTGTGGGTGTTTTTTTTCTGTCTTGTTAAATTGAAATACAGAAACTTCTAGCTGCATATGCAGATTGAAAATAGGGTGAAAGTGGTGAAAAGTGGAGGTCACCTACAGATGCTGAAGATCATTTAGAGGCACATGTGTAGTATATAATAATGAGATTTTAAGGCATCCATTTGGACTGGCTAAACTTTATGTTTCATCAGTGTTAAATTTCAGTTTTCTCCTCAGGATGAAGGCCCAGTAGAGGAAGGACAAACTTATTCAAATCACATCCAGTGAGTAAATAAATATGAATTTACGCACGATGTTAGTTGTTGGATAGCAGCACTTACACAAGTCCACCGCAGGTTTTTCATCTCTCAGTGAGAATTTGAGGGGTGGGGCCTGTAATGCCCGCTGGCAGTGCTGAGGTTTGGATGCAAATATCACGGCTTTGTAACTACTTGTCTGAGTTGGATGCAGTTCGACGCACCAAAGTGGATTTAAAAAAGCGCAACTCGCTGGAGCTTCAGTGCAAACACGCGTCCAGACCTCAGAAGACGAATTTAAAAAGTCTGAGTGACTAACTTCATCGGAACATAAATATATTTTTATGCATATAGTCTTTCACTGGAGGAATTCATTTTTAATCCTTTGCGCTTTTTTCTTTTCTTGTGCGTCTTGTGAGTCTCCACAGCCTGCTAGGGAAGTTGCCTCGAAATTGTGACAGATGTGAAAGAAATGAAATCATATGTCTTTTTAAATGATGACAGAGAAAAGTTGCATGGGGGTATCCTGTAGGAGGAGTTCTTTGTGACCAAACAAGTAACGGATTTTCCCTTATAAAAAAGGAAACTGAGTCCCGACCGCTCAATGAACAGCATTATTCGGAGACCCCGCTGCGCAGGTGCGTTGATTTTTATTTTACATTTACATTTTACATTAAGATTAAATGTTTCAAGGCTTAGGTTTATGATTTCTTTTAAATAAATATCTTAAGTTGGAGTTAACTTTGTTTTAACGAATCTAGAAATTTGAATGCGTAAAAATACTTTATTGTAAACATATGGAAAACGGTCTTGGTTTAATATGTTAATCGAGCATTTATATGGATGTTGTTAATCTAATTATATATAATTATTATTGTTAATTATATGCTGTGACGACCTTGATTCGTTTTATTTTGCAATAAATTACATTTTCAGATTTGTGAGATTTAAACTGCCCCATTTTTAGCCATCATATGAACCAACTTTTTCCATAAGTGCATTTTAAACTAATTCAATATTTAATCAAATAAATTCAATTATACTGAAAATTATTATCATATTTATTATGTTGACATAATATTTGACAATTTTTCTGCTGCTTAAACTTAACTTAAACGTAGGGTACAGTTTACATACAGTTTTTTTTTTTACTCTTTAGGATAACATCCTGCAGCATCTATCCTCACACACACTTGTGTTAACACACCACACAAACTCATTGTCATCCTCAGGAGCTACATAAATGTCAGCCTCTCCAGTTTCAGAGTGACAGGCATGGAGGGATTTAGAAAAACAACAGGACAGTGACGTGAGGGCAGAGATGCTGGACTGGGGACAGGTGGGGATCTGCACTTGATTTCCCTCCTCCCTGAGGAGCAGTGCAGTGCAAACAGCTGTAATCCAGCATGGTGTGCGAGCCTCAGAGGCAAAGCTGAGCTGCGTTCAACTGAGCTGTGCAGGATCAACCCTCTGACTGCTGGGGCTGTGCAGGGCTTAGTCCTACATGAAAACTCAAAAAGAGAGTCTGGTGCTGGTGATGGTCTTCTCTGCTCTGAGCGTTGAGTGTTTGTCAACTGCTGCACATTTGACCTCTCACTGCCTGAAGTCTTTAAGCTGCAGAGCAGAGGAAGTGATTACAAAAATGGTTAAGGCTTCTGTTGATGCTGCTGGTGCAGCCAGGTGTTTCTCCTCATTCTGGACAGGCTATCTAAAGATTTAGATTATAATATGTTGAGAGCGTAGGGATGATGCCTCAGTCAGCACCTCATCTCTACTGTTACCTCTTTCCTGTAGCATGTCTTTATGTTCTTTTTCTGTTTTTCATTGTGGGTGAAATTGGCCAGCACAGCTACAGCTTATGGCTTGGATGTAAAAAAAGAAATCATGGATTTTACGAATATCAAAATAAACAAAACATAAATGGTCACCATGACTGAGTTAAAGCACCCACAAATTCCTGTAGAATTGTTTGCTGCACACACAGATGGCCAAATTTGGGGAGAAAAATGTGCCCAGAATTTCCCGCTAATTCGCCTTTTGGAGTCCATGTAGCAGATGCCACTTAAGAATAATTTCATTTTGAAAACAGGAGTGATTTGAGGTTAGTGTGGGGCCACAATAGGGAAATGCTGGCTCCAGCGTTTGGCCATTTCTATGTGAGGGAAAAGACGTTATGACTAGTGAGCACACACTGAAATATCTAAAAGTTTGTGCCTTTTTTTTAATCCTTTCTCTGCCTTCTGTGTCTCTTGATACAAATACTATTAGTTTGTGTGTGATTGAGACATTTTGGTACAAGTTAAACAAGCTGATGTTCTTTGGTCAGCTCTTAAATATGTGTGGAAAAGCCAGTAGGTTCAGCCACAGGCAGAAAGTTCATCGACAGGTTGCATTTGTAACTCTGAGCTCAGAGTTGTGGCACCTTCTCCAGTTCGATAAATTCCCAGTGTGGGAGCTCCCTTTCAGTGCTTGAATAATTGATAGATCAAACTTAGGACTTACAAAGGAGGCAATTTAATCTCCTGACTATTTGATGAGCGGGGGCTTAGTTTCATTGGGCTCAGCTGAATGTGGCCGACGGTGAGGAAAGGCACACAGTTTAATGGATGAGGGAGCAGAGACAGAGAACTTTGAAAACATACAGGTGCCACAGTGTGCCACAGTTGCCTGGTGAGATGACTGTTTGTTAAAAACAGGCCTTGAAATGGAGATGGGCTGAGAGTACAACAATCAGTTTTCCCTGCGACTCAACAGCCCGATCCTGTCTCTTATCTCCATGGTGTGCGAGAGCAGATATGGATGAGCTGAGGTGTGCTTCTGGCAGGTTGCGCAGAGTCGTGGGAGTGCTGGGTTATGAAAGAGTCTCTGGCATGGAGTCTTGAGTTACTCAGTGCTGGAAAGGTCATGTTCTGAGTGATCCAGACACTTAGCATGTCCCATTCTCCAATCATCACTCTCTCAAGTAACAGGTGCTGCAGAAGACTGGTTGCGCCACTCTTTTGGCTCATTCTTGTAAATATGACTTTTAGCCGAGAGGTGTCAGTGACACTGAGACTCATTAAGTGTTAAGAAGTAAATAAACCTACTGCCGGGAAAGAGAGTCAGAGATGTTTCCCAATTAGGAGAGGATACAAGTGACCCTTTATTCTGTCTTTATAGATCGCATCATCTCACAAGATGACTCGTGATTATCACATGGACTTGGAATCAATCTGGATTTGTTTCCATTTGAGTTAGAAATGAAATGAAAAATGGATTTTATCATTATGTAATTTTCAGATCATACTTTACTCCAGCCTCAAGTGTAACTCCTCTTCTGGATGTTTAAAATATTTTGGATCAGTCCAGCTAAAAGAAAAATGGTGAAATACGAAATGTTTTGTCCCTTTTGATTTATACTTAAACAAATAACGTAATGTTGCCTGCAGGAATGTTTAGACGCACCAAATGGCATTGTCCCTAGTGTGAATCTGAGCCACAATCAACTCAACAGCCTAATATGGTCCTATTTTTCTTTATTGAGCTGCGAGGGAGGACCTCCCATTGCTCAGATCCTAACATGTTCTGTGTGTCCTCTTCACACAAGAGCTGTAAATACATGCAGCGTATGACACTATCTAAAAAAGATCTCAGCACCAAATACAACAAAGGCCTCCAGCCCGAGTGTGTGTTGCATTTCCCAGATGGAGCTGACTTCACTCCAAATACAACTTGAAATGCCACGACCTTGAAGTGTTTGTTGTGTTTAGTTTCCTTGTTTCACAACTGATCATTTAAATTAGCTGGTTAGTTCTTCAGATTACAGAGAGTTCTGATACTCGATGATACATGAATGAATGTAGCCTACACCAAACAATGTGTCCCTGGTGTAGTGGGTTAGAACTGACTGTCGCTGATTTAAGTATGTAAATGTGCTGACAGTATACTGACATTATTGTATTGCTTTTGAAAAATATGCTGAAGGAATAGTCCAACATTTTGGGGAACTGGCTTATTTGCTTTCTTACCGAGAGTTAGATGACAAGATTCTTGTGCTCATATGATAAATATGAAGCTACAGCCAGCAGGCGGTTAGCTTAGCTTAGCTAAAGATGGGGGAAAGGGGGAAACCTATCTATACAGAACTGATGGGTAAAAAAAAAATACAAGCTGCGGTTTTATTGAATAGTTTTTTGGCCTGGTGCAGTGAGTTTTGGCAGTGGTGCTTCCAAGAGGGGCCATGGCCCCCCTGATACAATTGATAGCCTCCCAAATGCCCCCCCCCGGTGACAATAAGGCAGACATTACTGACTTTAAGAGGGCATGGCGCACTCAGTTTTTAAGCTATGATGGTAGTGGTACCTTGTGAAACCAGCCAACCTAAGGCATCCATTTGTACCAACGCTCCAAAGTTAGGCTCATTTTTGGCGAGGGAATAACTGGCATGGCCATCTCAAATGGGTCCATTGAATGAAAATGGGTGTGGCCACACCAAGTAAAAAATGGAGGCGCTACTGAGTTTTGTAGTCTCGTCGTAACAATGTGGATGCTAGGCAACAAGGAGAGACTTCAGGAAGTCACTGCGCCTGGCCAAGAAAAGTTTGACCCATAACACCTCAGTTTTGTACTGATCAAATAAACAAAATATAGCATGTTAATCAGTAAGCTTTAGAGGTGCCGGTAGGCAGATTTCATCACCTTTGGACAGAACCAGGCTAGCTGTTCCCCCCTTTTCCAGGCTTTATGCTACACTAAGCTCAAAGTGGTTCTTTAGCTTTATAGTGCTATAGAGAACCATTAGATGTGCCAGTTGATATGTGTCCAAATGAGACTTTTACTTAAAACATGAATGGTTTTTATTGATAATTTCTTCCAAAATATTGGCTTAAAAGATTCAGAATTTAGTACAAAATGCTTACTGAGAAACACAATATGTTCCCAAACCTGTCATATTTCCATGCATGCCGGGACAAAAAGGTTGAGTCACTCATTTAATGTGTTATCCCTGAAAATAGAGCCCGATCTCATTCAAAGTCGTCAAAATCCAGCGCTTGGGGCAGTGACTTGCGGCGTCAGAAACCAGCGAAAAAAGGAGTCCTTTATCGTCGGCATGGTACGCAGCTGGTTGCAGGTATAGTTTAACGGCGCCCGGCGGCGTCAGGGGGGAAACGAGGTGGGACAAGGATGAAAGTCCGACTGGGGCAGGCAGGAGAGATGGTAGATGAGTCCAAGAAACATCGACCCAAGAGAGCGGTGTTTGCATCCCATAATATTCTAAAGCAAATCCCTGTTCTTTTCTTAAACCTTACGACATGTTTTTGTTGCCTAAACCTAACCATGTGTGTTAGTTGTTGAAGGAAAAAAAAAAAGTCAATTCGTAGTATTGTAGTGACGTAGTGCGTTAATTTTGAAAGAGACTGTATGTAAACATTGAATTTCCTGTGAAAACTGAAGTGTGTTTTGAAAGAAGACAATGCATGTAACAGGCAGAAGTTGACATGGTGTCCCAGAACGCCAACAACCAATGCACCCAGGGTACCTTGCACGTTGTATGTGGACATGGAAAGTGCATGACCAAACGTCAATATGTGATGAGGTCAGAGTGAGATTTATGTCGGGAAATACAGTATTTGCAGGCTACTAAACAAAGCTGAAGGACCAGTAGAGAATCTCTAAAGAACCATACAGGGACTTAAAAAGTTTTTTGTTGTGCTATATTTCACCTCAACCCACGATAAAGAACCACTGAGGAACATTTTTCTGTGTCTGCATAACCCTTCTCCTTAACCTGTTCTCCATCTGTCCATCTTCTCTGCCTCCTTTCTTCCTCAGCAGGTCCTGGTACAAGCAGATGTGTTGTCACACATAGTCAAGAACCTGTATCCATCGTTTCTCAGGCTGCATGCCAATATTTTAGTGCCTCTTTAGTTCATCTTTTATAAGACACATGCTTGTGAGCTCAGGCACCCACTGACAGCAAAGCCTCTTCAAACAGCGGGTTCCCTGCTTCCCTGCCAGCCCACCCCAAGCTTCATGGGTTGAACCACCAGAAGTTCGACTATCTCCTCTTCATTCTCTCCTCCTCGTCATCCTCCGCACAACCCCTCAACCCCACCCTCCATCCTACAACCCCGTGCCGTCTACTTTCTTTACCAGTACTACTACCAGCGTGATGGCTTGTTGCGCCTTGGGCTTATTTAGACTTGCAACCACAGCATCACCCTCGACTTCACAGACTTGCAGACGCAGCAGCCACTAGAGTGAAAGATCCAGAGAGATAGAGGGGAGGAAAGGGAGAGACAGACAGAGACAGAGAGCAGTACCACAGGAGAGAGGAGGGATCATCTGTCCCAGCAGCAGAGGGATCCACCTGTCCCACAGAGGAAGGGGCCCCCCCCACCTGATCCATCTGGTCGCAGGGGGGGACCCTGCGTAGCCGGGAAGGCAACAGGGACTATGCAGCTGGGACTGGTGGCGCTGGCAATGGTCTTCTTCAGCTCCATGGGTCACAGCGATGTTCTCAAGCTCTCCAAGGCGAGAAGGCAGAGACGGGGTGAGTTCCCTCTTTCTCAGTTTGTTTTGATCTCCTTTTTCTTCCTCTTCAGCGCTGCTGCCTTTCGTCTCTGCGGTCTGAGTCACAGTGGTGGATGTCTTGTAAACATTTAACAAGCAAAGTAAAGATAACATTTTGTTTATTTTCTCATCATTCTTATTTGTTTTTCCTAGATGGGTTGTGTTAGGTTCAGTGTTTCCCCTGAATGGCTCGTCTTTCTTCCTCTTTTTAAGATTATGCCTCTCTCAGTTTATGTAAAACTTTTATGGGTATTAGGATTGTTTATAGAGGGGGTTTTGATGGATTCGCCCTCAAAGCCATCACTCTTTTTGTGTCTGGCTCTGTGGGCACATAATGGAATGAGTAGCTGACAGTTCTAAGCTCTCAATTGGACCGTGCTGCCGGTGTTGTTGGAAGCATTTTTCTGACCTCACGCAACCACAAAAAAGATGGTGCTCAGCCCGACTTGCAGTATATCTCTGGCCTTAAAGCCTCAGCACTGGTGTTAATGTCAGCTTTGAAATAAGTCTTCCTTTACACACAAGGAGCTTTCAGCCAATGCCAAGCTCACCCCAACCTCTGTGAACCAGAATTCATTTAATACCATGACTGGCCACGGTAACAGATGGGTTTATTAAAATCACACACACACACTGGAAAAGGAAGAGCTGTTGTTTGTGTCATATATGAGGAATATTTTACACACTCATATGTATATGCATTGACCTTAGATGCTGTTGCAGTTTGTCATGTGCCACTGTAATGAGGACAGAAGGATTTGGGTCAGTCACCATATACATGAGCGCCCTCTACAGCGTCATTGTCAGCTGAGGCTTCTCCCTGTCAGATATGAAAGTGATCTACAATTTACACCTCTGATTTACAGCTTTTAAATCTTCAGTGTCATCAGATTTCTATCTCTGAATGATTTCAGTGTAACGCAGAGATGAAATCGAGACCGTCAGAGAGGAGCTTCAGACAGCGCAAATGCTCTCATTTCCAATCCACCACGTGTCACAAACAGTTTACAACACCGCTACATCCTCTGATTCATACACTCCCCTCCGCTTTGGTTAGAGATTACTCCCCAGGGCCATTATTAGTCCTTTCATTTGTGATAGCGAGCAATATGACCTGGCTGTAATTGCTGCATTTGAGGTTACCGTGACTCACACATGGTGTAATCTGTTCATGGGAGAACCCTTTTAACGCTTTTACTGTCCGACTTATCTCTGGGAGGCAGGATGGCAGATGGATTGCTGTGTGAGAGCATGTATATTTAGAGCTGATACAGTGCAGGAATGTAAATCATCTCTCAGGACTGTGGTTTTGTTTCTGAGCAGCTCCCAGAAAAAGGATGTGCCATTTGACACGTTTCCTAGAAATGATTTAGATTGCAACTGGTGATACACTGGTTGTGCTTTTGTTGGAAGATGAGGGAATTTGATTAATGTCTGAGTCTGGGATGACAACGAAGTAATGTACAACAGTTTGCATGTGTACTTTTCATAGGCGTGTGTATGAAGAGAGCATGAGTACAGCCTGAAATGCATCTGTAGTGTATTTTCAGACCTAGGACAGGGGATGAATGGTGTTTAGTGCCACTGTAGAAAAACACTGGCACTATTTGATTCTTGGCCACGTCCGTAATGATTGCAGTTTTCTTATGCCCAGATCATTTGTGACTGACCCCAGTAGAGGCCCTGTGTGATGTTAGTTGCCTGATTATGACTGGCTCTTGGTCGGCTGTCGGCCCCAATTACCCGGGTTTCTCCAAATGAAAATCTGTTAAGGATCTCCGGCGAGCAGCTTGAAGTAAACATTGAGTAACTGTTCAAACAAAGATGTTTGGCCTAGCCCCCGGTTAGATGAAGCTGAAAGCATTAACCCCTGCTTGTTGGAGCGATAAAGCCAGTTTATGGTTGAATCTGCGGAGATGCCAGAAAAATATTAAAGTTTCCTGACATGCCCTCGTTAGAATTAATATCTGGCTGGAAACAATTTATCTTTTTATGTGATAGTACTCCATGCTGTTCTGGTGTTTACCTCAACCTGACTGTTCCTGTCTTTATGTTTATTATGTTTCCACAGTTAGCACTGAGGGGCCACCATCTTGCTCCAAAGGCTGTGACCGATGCTCCGAGTATAACGGCTGCATCAAATGTAGACCCAAGCTCTTCATCTTCCTGGAGCGCAATGATATTCGTCAGATAGGCGTGTGCCTCGCCTCCTGCCCCATGGGATACTTTGGCATGAGGAACCCAGAAGGCAACAACAGATGCACCCGTGAGTTTTGCTTTGTTCAGTAGAGTCTCAACCAAGCGACATTACAAGTGTCACTGTGCACCAACAGAACATATCAGTGGGCGCATTAGATTTGTAGATACACATCTGGAAACTTCATGCAAGCTGGAGCTAACACTTGGCAACAGCTCATTCTGTAAAAATCCACAAAGCTGATGTCAAGGCTGCAGAAGTGCAAACGATCTGTTTATCTTTGGCTCAACCATCTCCTGTTTGTGTACAATATGGGAGTATTTGGAGGAGTAGAGGGATACCCTGCTTGTTTCTTTGTCTTGTGTATCTTATTTGTTGTATTTCCAATTTTTAACACCACTTTGTGTGTTTGACAAAGACCTAAAATATCAATACAGAAAACAGAGATGTTACCATGTGCCTAACCCTTTATTTTCCTGTGTAATTTCATGCTGCCTTATTTTTTTGACCTATCTGTGATACTATTTTCCAATGCCTGAGTGAATAGTGAATAGGAAAGACCACTTGATGAAATCCATCTGTTGTTGCTATAATCCATGTTGAAAAGAGCACAAAAATAGCCACCACATCCAGCGAAGTATTTGCTGAACCGGAGGAAACTCAGTAGAACTTTTAATTGAACTGGCCTTCATTATAGGCAGGTTTGGCTCATTTGGAAGGTGGGTGAAAGGGTGGCCACACTCACGGTACTTAAAACGTACTTAGCTGGATCTAGTGGCACTGGTCCCGCACTTCAGCTGAGGAGTGCCAGCACCTCAGTCTGTTGTCTGTTTCCCCTTACGTGTGGGCCGAAAACGGGGTCGGAACAAAATCCCAACAAAAACATCTCTAATGCGTTGTTGTTTGTCTGTTCTTAAGAGGATATGTGTGTTTTTTATTTGGCCCTCATGTGCAAAGTTCATGCCAGGCCTCAAGCCGTGTCTGTTATGCTTTTACTGTTTTCACTGTATTTCATTCTAATACGCCCTTACTAACTGTATCATACACAGTCTCTGAGATAAAAGGTTTATTTGAATGTGAGCGGGGCTAAAAAGATCATTTTCTGCACAGTAAAACATGTATTACCTCAATAGTTAACTCAAATTATTTAATGACATTTAATGACATTCATGGCTTCAAGTGAGTTGTAGGTGTAGGTGCGGTGGGCAGCTACAATACCCAGCAGCCTGTTGTGATTTTCTGCTACAGGAAGAAATATGCAGGCTGTTCTTCTCTTTAGAGATGTTTTTCTTGACTGCCCATCCCTGTATCACATAATGCTTATCAGATGTTAATATTTTCGCTTAAGTTTGCATAACCCCAAACTTAAAACTGCTGCTTATGGTGATGCAGTATTGCTGGATTTTGATACTTCAGTTTTCATAAACAGGAGCTGTAATTTTGTGCTCCAGCTGTTAGCGGTGCTAAACTTTCTTGTTTGAGCCCTGTGTTTTACAGCCCTTATACTGAGAGGTAGACAACATACAGTAATGTGTTTCTAAATTAACAGGTTATATTGAGACATATCTTATTTTCCATGTTGCATCAGTGCAAACGACACAAATGGAATTTTTATTATCATCTGAGATTTTTGCATTTTGTATTAGATATTTTGCAAAAAAAATTCAACCCCATGTGTTACAGCATTCCTCCAACGTCCTGGTTTGTTGCAGAGAGGGCTGAATTTCCTCAGCAAATTCTTTTCGGAGGCCCGCGGTGGCTATCCTGGGTTATTATCCAATCATCTGACTTTATACATGTCATCCCAGAATGTCTTGTTAGCAACATTTGTCTTACATTATAGGGCTACAAACGTCAGGACTGTCAAATTTAGCTGTCAAGGGCTTAAAAATAGTAATTGGGAGCAGGAGGCAAGAACCCAGTGTTAGATCATTTCTGACCTTGGCGTCCGACCAGCAGCAGAGTAGACATTCTTACTGTAAGTTTAGCACACATGAACACAACGGGTCTAGATCTGAATCATTTCCTTTATAGAAATATTGACAGGAATTTACAGATTTCCATCTTCCGCCGCTGTTGTTCCAAGAGAACAAGGAAGTGCCTTTCAAGATGAGGCCAAAGCTTTTTGGAGTCTTTTAAAGATGTCTGTTTTTTGTCCTCCTGTGTTTGTAATCATCCAGATTTCGAGGAGTTGTTTGTTTGACTGGAGAGTTAAGAGATTTTAATGAGTCTGAGGTGTACAGAAACTCTTGAGAAACCCACTGAAGCGATACACTCCTGGCTGTACTCATTCACACCCGCTCTCCAAAAAAACAAGGCCTGTGGTGCATGTGTTTTTAAGAGAAGAGTGTTACTCCCCCTAAACAGACCCCGTGTTGTTTAATCACTAATAAATCTCTCAGAGGAAATAAAATTCAAGTTCCTCTTGCCCTGTCTCCAGAGAACCACTTGCCCTCTCCGGCCAAAAATGTGATGAATATTCTATTAAAGAGATTTCTTGTGACATTTTTCTACAACAAGATCAAAAAAATCTGAAGCTAATAATATGAACTCTCACCATCAGCAGACACAGTGTGACTGAAACTGATTTGATCCCTTCATTTGATCCTCTCTTTTTGTCTTTCAGAATGTAAAATAGACAATTGTGAAGCGTGTTTCAATCGCAATTTTTGCACAAAATGTAAGGAGGGCTTGTATTCACACAGTGGGCGATGTTATGTCAGCTGCCCTCCAGGCCAGCGCACCTCCAACGAGACCATGGAGTGTGTCGGTGAGTGACCTTTGACTTTTACCCTGAACTGTTTAAGCATCTCTTAAAGATCCAGTGTGTAGAATTTAGGGGCATCTATTGGCAGAGTGTAATGTAATATTCATAACTATGTTTTCATAAGAGAGAGAATTGTTGTTTCTGTTAGTCCACTATTGTTTCTACAGTAACACAAAATGGACAAATCAAACACTGGCTCTAAAAAGGGTCATTCATGTTTTTGCATTTATGCATCAGCCACCCACATGATTGGCATACAGAAGAAGTTTAAGTTGGTTGCAAGCTGCAACCTCACCACTAGATGCCGCAAAATTCTACACACTAAGCCTTTAAAGCTCCTTTAATGAACTAGAAGGTATTATTTCACTGTCTTCCACTAAAGCATTAAAAGGTGTGAGCCACATGTTGACTCAATCTTTATTATCACTTAATGAGCAGCCAACTATGTTCAATTGGCCAGCCTGGGAAAAGGGGAAGTGAACTCGAGAAAATTCACAAGATCTCTTTATATTGCCTTTATTTTTCTTTTCTTTTTTGGTATTGTTGTTGAAAATAATTCTGTTATAAGTTATAAACAACAGCAGTAACAGTTGTTGCTCTAACTGGACCCTGCTGGTGTAACCGTAAAAACCTTTGTTGTGAGCTCAGTTTACTTAATAGCCATCTGCTTTGGTACATTTTCAGGTTCATAGCAACCCTCTCAATCTGTCCCTCTCAAGTGAAAATAAAAGCAAGAAAGATAAAATTGCTTTCAGATTCGAAAATTACTTAGTCATTATTGTGAGCTAAAACTGCTGAACTGTAACAAGCAGACATGAAAGCTGTGAAGCAAATGTGCTGTGTTAGAGCTGCGGAGCATTCACTCACTACCTCAGTCCCCATTTCTCTTCATGCAGGTCAGCGTCCTGCAGAGTGTGAACTGGGCGAGTGGAGCCAGTGGGGTTCCTGTATGAAGAAGAACAAAACATGTGGATTTAAGAAAGGCTCCCAGTCCCGGGTTCGCGTGCCCCTACCGCAGGTCGATATCCCCGACACTTCCCCGGCCTTGGTGCCCTCACAGACCTGTGCTCCACAGACAGAGAGGAGGAAGTGCATTGTGACCAAGACGCCTTGTGTGAGAGGTAAACACAAATACACATATAATACAGAACATTAAACACCAAGGACATGTAGTAGGGACTTCTAACCAAATGTACAGTTAGTAATAGTTAAAATCGGGTACTCAGATTACAGATGAACAAGCACTAAAGTCCGTGTGCTTCACAAAATGCCCCCACCAGTTGATATGATGACTGATGGAACCATTACTCAACATCCAAAGGCCTGTATTCCCGCCAGCGTGTCTGTGACCCGCAGCGTGTTGATTGGGTTTGGTTTGGCTGAGCTCACAGAAGGATACAGAATCTCTTGACTTCTCAGCATGTAAACAATAAACTCTGTCTACGAGCCAAGCAGATGAAGGGCGGGCATTAGGCACTGCAAAGCTGGACAAGGATCAGAGCTACACGGAGCTATTTGTTCTGAAGACAACTGAAGCGTGAGGTTTACACGGCCGTGACATGTTTGCTTGGGCTCTTATCATCCGCACAGCAGCTTGCTCTCCAGCAGGTTAACAGTCATTCTCACCAGTCAATGGCCATTATCAACTTTGATAACAGCATATTAGTTGCTCTTGGCCTCAGTCGTGGCTAATAAATGATAGATCTGGCCAATCGGTCCAGAGTTTATTGGATGATAAGTGCAACAAAAACAACAATGATCCCAGTTATTTGGTTTTAAACAGTTTATCATTAGTAGTGAGGCAATATTTACCAGCAGTGGCGTTGGGATAATAAACCATTTTAAACAGAATTAAGAGGTAGCTGTTGCTTAGCATGATTAATGCAAGTTATAGGGTTTATTCTCTTGAACTGCAAATGTCTTTGTCTCTAAATGTCACCATAAACTAATCCGTTTTGCATAAAGTGCCAGCTTTAAACCAAAGTTGGAAACTTACACACATTTACAAGGACTGAGAGAATTGTAAATGAGCAGTATTTAAAGCCTTTATTGGACGGTGGCACGTTTAGGGGATTTTGGGCACGGCAGCCACATTACGCAAGGATATTTGCAGTGTTGGCAGCTGTACAGATGTTGCAACACGTAACAGATGATATGCCTGGATATATGTGAGTAAACATGCTTGCATATTCAAGCACCGTCCTCTATTCTGGAGCAGTTCCTATAGGACTCAGAGACTGAAGAACAGAACATGATCTGACACTGTCCCATATAGATCTGTGGTCATGTCTAAAGGGAGGGGGGCTGACGTGGCTTGTAATTGCTCAGTGAGGAGTGGGATCTTCGTTGGATGGGCTGTGACAGCACAATTTGAGAAACGAGAAGGAAATTTACTCTGTCTGACGCCTGCATCCTGGAAAGAATGTCAGCCACGGGTTCAGAAGAATAATTAACTTTGAAATATTATAAACTGCCCTATAAAAACTGCTACGCAGGCCGCCAAATTTCCAAACTTGGAGCAAAGTCATATCAGAGAGACAAGGATGACATGTGAGGTGTCACCTGACGAGTAATGAGTCATAGAAGCTTTCTGGATTGTGAAACTGTTGATGCTGAGGAGATTTTTAGTCCTGTTTTTCTTTTGTATGAAAATAAGACACATACGACTGCCAGAGTTCAAGGGAATGAATTTTCCTCTGTGAGGTAATTCATGGGTGATGGTACCATGACTCCGGTGAACCAGTTCATGTGGGTAAACTCGCTCAGTGCAAAAAGAGCGCAGCTGTGGATTCATCTGTGGGAGTTGGCTGGCAGTCTGGCTATATAAAACACAGGGGGCAGACCTTGTATAACATTAGTGATTTAGTGGTCTGCAGAACTCACGCTTTGTGTTGATTTGGCTGCAAATTTTTCCCCTTTTTCCTGAAGCTCAATGAAAAGGGTCTCACGCGAAAACAGAATTCTCTGGATGTGTTTTTGCATTTGTCAGGCAAAATTGTTTAGTTTGGATGGAGAGGAGGTACAATCAGGCCTGTCATAAACTGATGGAGTCCCCCTCTCCTGGCTCCATTAGTGGTTTGTTAGAAGTAATTAAGTCCTTACACAGTAAGCACATCAGCTCAGACGCTGCAGAGTGTGTGTGAGGACTCTTTACTTCACTCGAGTTCATTGTGCCTCATTGATATAAATTGAAACCATTACGGCTCAATGTTAAGTGCTTGTTTGAATGGTTGCTATAAAAGCTTGGAAAAATGTTTCTTAACACGTAACTGATGAATGTGTTGGACATAGAATCTTTTTATATGGTTTTGAGCCAACTTAACAAATAACATCAGCAGTATTGTTGTCATGATTTTGGCACTAATGGCTCTTGAAAAAGGCGAATTATTCCCATTTGTGTACTACTGTGCGGGACTGAGCCTCGCCGTTTTCAGTTGAGAGTAAAGCAATCGTGACTCTGCATGGGCCTGCGGTGAGTAAATGTTTTTGTATTAGATCTGTTCACATTCAGCTGCACTCGGTGTACTCCATCACTGCATAATGATTTTCACTGGCTGTGTAGAAACATGTTTCTGGTGAAATTTGAGTAACACTGTACCTTTGGTCTTTTTGTTTTTCTACTTTGCGCTTAAACCAAAAGAATCATAACTGTTTGTACGACAAGTTTAAAAATGCTGGTAGGGGAAATAAACACAGACCTACAGTTATTACTGCACAGCAGTAGACAAACATGGTGGCGCCATAAGCCCTGCTGTTGTCAACTGCATAGTGAACACTGTCCAGCCCTTGGCACGCGTTCACTCAGTTTCCAGGATATGCAGAGACTCTCCACGCACAAGTTCATAACAAACATCCTCCAGCGTAACTACACTCCCTCAGATACACAAAACCGAATACTTTTGAGTGCTGCCTAAACAATAGCCATCTGACACTAGGCAAAATGTCCATTTCCACTTTGTGACAGCTCCTCACGTCCTTATGGGCCATTATTGGGCCCTTGACAATGTTTAACTCATTATGCCAGAAGTGATTTTAAAGTGAATTATGTGACAGAAAATTGTGTCACTTGACTGTCCTGAGTGCTCTCACAGTTTATACATGCACTGCATTTTAAAATCAGCAGCAGCAGTAAGCTCTTTCCTCTCCTGAAAGGTTTTCATGTGGACATTAACCACTCTGTGATGGATGTTTGTATTTAGAGGGCAATTATACTCTTAAATGTATGACAGGTGTGGATCCTAATGCAAGAGTACCAGCAGAGAGGAGGTGGGGGGGAGTCCTGTGCGTGTTTGTTGAGTAGCTGTTGAAATAGAAATTAAGACTAAGGGCCCCATCTTACACACAGTGCAAAAGGGGGCATAATGTAGCACAACTGTCACTGATAGATTCAGACTGACTTAGTTGTCATTTTAATGGCCAGCACCCAAGCACAAATGAACTTGTGCCCAAGGGTGTGTAGGTCTTAAAATGCAGTGTGGTCAGGCACATGTTGGCTTGCTGCTATTTTGAAACAGCAGAAAGCGATTGCGCCATTGACCAACAAAAACCTAGTCTAAAGCCTGGCGCAGTATTTTCCTGCTAGTTAAAGTGATAGTTTAGGTCTTTGGACATGAAGTTATGTGAAATGCTGACCATCTGTAGCTCTGATGTGACGGTGTCACTACTCTCAACGAGCCTCCTGCTCTGAGAAATCGCCCGTAGCTTACCGGAGAAAAAGTAATTCTGAAGATGTACGGGGGACACGTAACCAAAAGGTTTTAAGCTACAAAAAAGCATGCATGTGTTTTGTTAGACTATTTCAATAATTTTAAAACATCCCCGCATAACGTCAGACCTTGCTCTCAATTGGGACTATTTTCTGGCCAGTATCACTCCGCCGTGCAGGTGCGCAGGATAGCAACGGCTAACGAAAACTTCATCGGCTGTTTCCAAGAGAGAACCAGTAGGCTATTATTAGTGAGGAAAAAGATGTACTAGCCCTATATATACCTACTACTACAGCGCAAACACCGGCTCAGACTCACGACACACCCAGCTGCTGTTTACCTACAGCAGCTGACGTGTCCCCCGTACATCTTCAGAACTACTTTTTCTCCGGTAAGCTATGGGCGATTTCTCAGAGCAGGAGGCTTGTTGAGAGTAGTGACACCGTCACATCAGAGCTACAGATGGTCAGCGTTTCACATAACTTCATGTCCAAAAACCTGAACTATCACTTTAAAGGGCACATTATTCAGACTGTAAGATGCACCTACATGGGTTCACAACTTACACTTGGATGGGTTACAGGTGAGGGAAATTCATGAGGAAAATATTAATTACATTCTCTAAGATGTGAACGTAGCAGAGAGCAGAGCAGAGCTGCAGAGCTGCTGTCCAACTCCCATCAAGAGAGACACTGTGCGCTTTCACACATGAGAAGCGGTGTAACTTCATTGATTATTTCAGAAGCTAAAAGTTAAGTTCTGTTCCCCTTGTAAATGTAAATGGTAAATGGAGCTTTTTCTAGTCTTCTGACCACTCAAAGCACTTTTTAGACTATATGTCACATTCACCCATTCACACAAAGTCACACCCTGGTGGCCAAGGCTACCACACAAGCTGCTCAGTAGCCATTCAAACGCACTTACACACTGATGGAACAGCCATCAGGAGGATTTTAGGAATCAGTATCTTGCCCATAGATACTTCAAAACCAAAGAGGTAGAGAGTGGACGACCCTCTCTACCTCTGAGCCAGAGTTGCCCCTATCAAGTTTCTAACTACAACTTTGGTTTTGCCGCTTAAATGTTCCACAATATCTACTGCAGTGACTTTACTGCTCTGACTGCATTACTCTCAGCAGAAAACCACTTGCTTCTCCAATTTGCCAAATCTGTCATGGAATAAATTGATTTAAATAACACATCTTTATTTAGCTAATGAATTGTAAAAAAACTTTAATCACAGTAGAATATTATGACTTGTAACTTTAAGCCTTGCACATATGTGATATAACCACAATGACTTAAATAAAGTTAAAGTGAAAAACAAAGCACTGCAGAACAAGGTGTGAATATTATGAAAAATAAACATGAATATTACTGATCTCCAGTCAGTTACAGTATTGCAACAGATCACACAAACTAAAATGCACACTGACTATGGCTCTACCACTTGCCTTGTTATAGACATGTTGTTAAGGGTTCCTGCTTCAGATTCCAGGCCATGGTCAGGAAGCACACAGACTCTCTGCTTCAATCACCCACACCAGTCTGCTCTTAGCGCATCATCATAACTCTTTTTTCTCTCTCGTTCACTACAGCATACAATGTCATGTGTAGACATGTGAATTGCACTTAAACCTGGCCTTGGCCATTTTGCCACAGTAGTAGGGCGAGCAGCGTAGCTTTCTTTTTTCAGTTTTCTTTTTCAGCTCTCATTTCTATATGTTATGTAGAGTGTAGGACACTGTGTGTGTGCACGTGAAGCCCACGGGCCCAGTTGTTTCCCAACCCAATTTTTTATCGCAGCCTATGCAATTTGAAAATTGTGTTCCATTACATCACAATGCCCTTGATGGCCAATTCAGCATGTTGAATTAGCACCAGAGACAGTGGAACCCATCAGAGAATGAAATCACTGTGATTGGCAGATTTATGTTATTATTTGCTAACACAGAGTAAATATCCTTTCTTCTTTCAATATCGGGTTGTGTTGTCAATGTGCTAACTGGCTAACTAGCATCTTGAATCTGTCCTGCCTGTCTTCTAGTTTAACTTTTTGAATGACCATTACAGACTAGAGCCACCTGCTGCTATTGAGAGTTATTTCCTTTCATGCAGGTGTGGAACATACATGCTAGTTGGCTGTTCGCTGTAGTCTTTGCATCATGTCCAGTGCACCTTTTTGTCTGTCCACAGGTGACATGAGGCAACACAACAGTTGGCCTTTGTTGCCACTAATTCTTTGATGTTGGTTTGGTTGGTCTGGGCCTGAAGGGATCAGCAAAGTTATAACAATCCATCCTGAAGACAATATTAATGTCTGCAACAGTCGCCAACATATTTCATTCAAAAGCACAAATGTTGAGCTCATGGTGGCGCTACAGGAAAAGTCAGGGGATCACCAAAAGGTTTAGGATTCAACCTCTGAGGATCATGAACATCTTTGCAAATTTTCATGGCAATTTATCCAATAGTTGTTGAGATATTTTAGTCCAGGTCAAAATGGTAGACCGACCGACCGATAAACTAACTGACACAGTTAAAAGCAACTGGCTTCCAAATGTTTAGCAATATTATTTTGTCCTATTAATTTTGATTATTATTTGTTGACTACTTGCGGTACACTGGTCCCTGCTGTACATGATCCTGTCAACACGGCTTAACAAAGCATCATGCTGGCATTAATGAATACTTCTGAACTGGATGAACTTGGTTTAAACTTGTTTTGCCTGCATTACAAACCACACAACTACAGCCACGAGTCCTGATCCAACACACATCCCTTATCATCCACCCTCATCCCTCTGGAATCCATGTTTTTTAAACTTTTGTTTAGCCAAGAGGAGGTGCCTCTGCATACAACATCTGATGATGACAGATAATATACAGGAGTTTATTTGAGAAATGACATAAACCTGTTAATCACATTTCCAATGCATTCTCATTTCAGAGAGGAAGAGCAAGGGAGACCGACAAGATGATACAAACAGGGAGAATGCACGCGGGCGAGGACGAGACAGCAAAGATGGGAGCAGAGGCGGAGGGGGAGGAGGCGGAGGTGTTGGAGGAGGAGGAGGAGGCGGAGGTGTTGGAGGAGGCGGAGGTGTTGGAGGAGGAGGAGGAGGAGGAGGAGGAGGAGGAGGAGGAGGAGGAGGAGGAGGAGGGAAGAGGCGAAGAGGCCAGAGCAGGACCACCACTGCTCCCAGCATCACAACCAGCTCTGTCAGCTAAACTCCATCGCCTGCTGGATGGGTGCTGAGAGAAAAACAGAAACAGTGCCTCACCCAGCAGCACCAGCCACAGACAAAGATCAAACTGATGAAGGAATGGATTAATGCTGCTATGCATTGTAGAAGATGCAAAGAGAACTGGAGGATCGCTGCAACACAAAAGGCTTATCTGAGCTTTGTGAATAGATGAACATATCTGGAAGATACTGGTGTTCAGAAAGACTTGTTGATTTTCATTCCACCATGAGGGATCACTGTTGGACTGCAAAGCCAGTGTTGAAGATAGCGGTTCATGTCATGAACCTTTGTCTTTGTCACTTCTTGAACTAAGAACAGATTCCCGTATTTCAAATGCAGCATTCAAGCTGGAAGTCTGATAATGAATGAAGGGTCTCTTCGGTCTCTCTCTGGTCTAGATTTACTTTGTTCCAGTTTGATTTTAATCACAATCTGTTCTTTATTTGATTTCATGTTCATGAGAGGTGGCAGATGGACTTTCTCAACAGCCGCTGTACGTGATGTAAAGACGATGAAAAGTATTAAGTCTTTGTACCTTTAGTTCCTGTTGTGAGATGAAACAAAAAAAGAAAGGCACTGGAAATCATTTGTGGTTGTTGAGGACAGAAAGTCCTCTATACAGTATATTATTTCGAGGAGGGAATCCATTACAAAACAAGCCTAAGAGAAGATGTAGGAGGATTACTGGGGGCTCAACTCACATCCTTCTCCGGTGTCTTGACACAGACTTTTGCCATTTGATAGCTTAGTTGTTTGGTCTGAAATAAATGTCGGTGTTTGTGTCAGAAAATAACTCTGCACAGAAAAGGAGGAATAAAAACACAAGTATTTGCATGTGCGTGAGTGAAAGAGAGAGAGTGTGTGTGTGTGTGTGCGTGCGTGCTTGTCTCTACCTAAAGTCTGAGTGTTGGTGTACTTTGTATGCATTTCTGCACGGAATCAAGTTGTTTGTCAATGGAACTTAGTCGTTTGTACATGTGTGTTTACGTTTGCACATATGTGTTAATATTGGTCTCATAGATTGAAGGAACAGGTTCTCGAAAAACAAGAGGAAGGAAATGTAAATGCACAGTGATATATCGAATATGCAGTAACTACAAGCCACTGATTATCATTTAAGCCATCAAATCATCAGCTGCTCAGTAATCTTATCTGTTTGCAACAGGGTCTGAAGATTTTGCACAACTATAATGTTTCCTACTGCTCGTGTTTCAGAACAATCATAGCATTTTATACATTTATACTCCAAAAGCTTCATGACATTGCAGATACGAAGAGGAGGGGTTTTTTTCCCAACGTTTTTCATGGGTCTGTTTGCTTTACACACAATATTAACTTCAGGAGAAGTTACACACTACATTATTCATTCATACTATGGATTGTGATGCTGAATATGTCATACTGTGTTTATCATCAAACATACAAAGTATTAGAATCATCATGTATAGCTTATTCTGTGAAAGCCTAAATAAAGTTCAGATGAAGCTGATCAGACGTCAGTCATACACTGATTGTGCTATTAGTTTGTTTGATTTCAGTTCCAATGAACCTCATGATTTTGTCTGCAATTGATCCACTATTTATTTATCCAAAGTTCTCTTATAGTATTCATGGTGTAAAGTAGTGCCACATATACACTGTATGTTTTTATGTTTTACACAGATTCAGTATGTTGTGGATGTTTTGTTTTTTGGTTATCATCACAGTGCACTTGCTAGCTTAGTGGCTGCCAAGGGAGATGTGTCGGGGAGGGAGGGCACCATCATGTTGTACGTTTGTTGTTAACTGTGTTGTCAACCCTCGGTAACGTAGCATTATGTTACCTATCTAGCTAACATTGAGATATTGTTACAAAAACAAAACCCATGCGTAAAGCACTCAAAGCACATTTTTCAATTCCTTAAAGCCCCATTTCCACCGGGCGGTACGTAACAGTTCAGTTCAGTTCAGTTCAGTTCGCTAATTTTATGTTTCCACTGTGAAAAGTTGTGGATGGTACCAACGGAACCGTTCTGTACTGTCTCCATTTTTGGTCCCTCTTCTGTTGGAGTACCTAGCACACAGATCTAGTACTAAAAAGGTGGAGCTGTGAACACTGCAGTCCATTGATTGGTTGATCGCAGACGGTCACTCTGCTCAGGGCTGAGTTGTGGCTGGTTTTGAGGCTCATGTAACCACTGTTGATACTGTGGAGAGTTTTAATAGTAAACTGTAACTATAAAATGGAAGGATGTTTTGCTGCCTCTCAAAGCAGCTAGAGTCCAAACCATTGGAGCGTTGTTCCTGTGGGCTTTGGCAACACTAAACCCCTGAGTTTGCCTGAGAAGAACTAAATTTACAAACTTGCTAGAGACTCTCACTGCAGCCTGTTCTATTTTGTTCTGAAAATGTTAACGTGCAGCCTCGTTCTGTGGACGATAAACAAGGCGCAGACTTCCATCCGTGTCACCGGTAATGAGGAAATACAGCGAGTGCTGGACGGAGCAGTGAGTGACAACAACCTCGCCCACATTTAAGGGTACTGTTTGCGGTGGAAACACTAGGGTCTAGGTACCATGTCTGAAGGGTCACTTTTTGGTTCCAAAGGTACCATACTGAAAGTGTTTGGTGGAAACAGGGCTTAACTCTCATATTAACGTAGTTCTAAACTATTTTACTACAACAGCATAACAGACTTACTAAAATTCAGTTGTCAGTGGCTCCATCTGGCCACCCCTAAAAATTTCTAGGAGCACCAGTGGCTAAGCTGAGATCTGGAAACTCAGTGAGCTGATGGTGCAAGAGTCACAAGGAGTTTCACAATCATACATGTTTTTTAAAAAGCCTGAGTAAACTGACTTTATGGTAGATATAAAAACAAGACAAATAGTAAACAGTTTAGCCAGTTAGTTAATTGGTTAGTTAATTATGGGAAATGGTCTTTGGCTTCACCACATAGCATAAACACAACAGATGAGGATAAACATCAGCAACACAGCATCAACAGACATGATTTAAAATACAAACATACGTTAAAAATAAAAATAAAGTGCAATGAAATATAAAAATTTGACCTGCTGTAATGAGTCTGAGCATAAACATCTTTCTTGTGCAACCAGGGTTTATTACCAACATTTCAGGTGCGCTCACTTGCACAAATAAAGTGGTTTAGATCATCTGGATAGACTTGTTTACTGCCTGTCTGATTGTCTAACCACTCGTGTTTTTGCCCGTTAACATTTTATTGAAGCAATTTCACCATGTTCTCAGATCGATTGTGCAATTACATAACAAATAGAAGAATGGCCAAAACTATTAAATTACGGCCCAAGTGACACTTAGCAGGACGGGGTTAATCTGGTATTGATGAAACAATAACAGTATCTGTTCATATAACAGACTACGCACACACACACACACAACATGGGAGGTCAGTCTCAATCAATAGAGGACTATTATGACAGTTTGGTGATAGATTTTTCACACTAGCCCTGCTGTCATAATTTTACAGGGAAGGTTTGAAGTATTAAGTATCCATCTCTTATTCTCTGGCCTGAACTCGATCATAATCTCAAAGAATGAGAAAAAAAAGTCAGCTTGGAGTATGATGCTATCTATCTCCAGTCGAGAGCCTGCAGTTGTTATGGTATGGCCTTCCTACAGGAGGCCATCTTGGGAGGTGGAAGAGCTTAGATGGTGTGATGGTCCCGATCACTGGCCAAATGCTGGCGCCTGGGCAGGGGTCATAAAAGCAGAGACAGAAATAAAAACTAATGGTGTGTCATAGCCAGAAGGGAGGGGGTATACCATGCCTTGGCCCTACAACAAAACAGCCGTTTCTCATTACCAAAAGGGAGGGCAGGGGGAATGGTAGAGTATGCACCGTAAATTACACATTCATCGCTCTTCCTGACCATAAATTCTTACCCTGGCTCCATTGGACGGAGCTCTCCCTCACCTCCCACTCTCTCTTTTTTCACTCTGTTGTTCCCCACTCCCATGTTTTCCAAGAGAAATGAATGGTAAATCTTTTGAGTATATGGGTGCCCTCGATTTGCCAAGATCCTTAACACTGAATGATTTCATTACTTTAGTTTGGCCTTTGAGCCAGACCCCAGGGAGTGCATCACGTCAATAGGGAACACCCAGTCCATGTCTGCTTGACTTAAACGCACAATCCCTGATCCAAATGTAAACAAAAGGGTACCACCACCATGCCACAAATCAAAATCAGAGCCTGATATCACTCTCAGATGGACTGACGTGGCTTTAAATGCAAAGATTACCACTGGACTACAGCTAAATCTATTTTTTTTTTTTTTTTTTTTTTTTTATTTAGCCTTTATTTATCCAGGAAATGTCCCATTGAGATACAAGATCTCTTCTTCCAGGGAGTTCTGGCCAAGACAGCACACATAAGTTCCATACATAAAACAATAAAACATACATATACGATGAAAACATGAAATATAAAAAAAATCAACAGTAAAGGGCAATCTTAAGTGAACATTAATTAAAACAACTGCATGTTTCCTGAAGGGCTGATTTTAAAATACCTTTAAACGCATTTACAGTAGGGAGGGACTGTAGGTTAATTTTATCTTGCAACTCATTCCATAATGAGGGAGCATAGAAAGAAAATGAGGTTTTACCAAGATCTGACTGCATCCGGGGAACATTTAAAAGCATCACATTTGCTGCTCGTCTAGTGCTGTAGGTGTTTGTATAAAAAGACATAAGTCTGGAGATATAAGATGATAATTTACCTACTAATGTTTTAAAAGTAAAAGTCAACATGTGTGCTTTTCTCCTCTGGTCTAGGGAGGGCCATCCTAACGATTCATATAAGGTGCAGTGGTGTGTGCGTGAGCCTGCACTCGTTACAAAACAGATTGCTGCATGATAAACAGAGTCCAGCTTTTTAAGCAGGGAAGATGCTGCATGCATATATATCACATCTCCATAATCCAAAACAGATAATAACAAGCTTTGCACAAGTTTCTTTCTGGCTTCGAATGGGAAACATTTTTTTAGACGAAAGAAAAAACCCAGTTTCGGCCTAAGCTTCTTCAGCAATTTGTCAATATGTACATTAAAAGACATCTTGTCATCAAGCCATATACCTAAATATTTATAAGAAGTAACTCGTTCAAGACATGTACCGTCCAATGTCGAGATCGTAGGAACAACTACACTGGAACGAGAGCGAGTGAAGGTCATAAATTTGGTCTTCTTTGAATTTAGAACCAATTTTAACTTCAGCAGGGAGTGCTGTAGTGTTTTAAAGGCATCCTGCAGGAACTCTAAGGCTTGGTTTAAAGAAGGTGCCATTGTGTAAATAATTGTGTCATCTGCATATAAGTGAAAATGTGCTGGACTTATTCCATTACCTAAATCATTAATAAAAATTGAAAATAAGATAGGTGCCAAAATAGAACCTTGAGGGACACCTTTGTTTACATTAAGAAGGGCTGAGGTGTAGTTTTCTACTGAGACACACTGAGTTCTTTCAGATAGGTAGTTTTTAAACCAGTTCAGAGCCCTTTCACTAAGGCCTATGCAGCGAAGTCTCTGCGGTAGTAGTTCATGATCCACAGAGTCAAATGCTTTGGACAGATCAACAAACAATGCTGCACAGTGTTTCTTACTGTTTAGACATCTGATAATATCATCTGTGACTAGCATGGCTGCTGTTGTAGTACTATGGCCTGATCTAAAACCGGACTGAGACTCATTGAGAATATTTCTAACGGTTAAAAACGTCTTCAGTTGCTCATTTATAAGCGATTCAAAAAATTTGGACATGACCGACAGTCTGGAAATAGGGCGGTAATTATTTAGGTCAGAAGGGTCTCCGCCCTTTAACAAAGGGAGGACCAAAGCCGATTTCCATGAGCTGGGTATTTCATTGGAGTAGAGACTGAGATTAAAAATGGAGGCAATAGGCTCTGCAATAACACCTGCAGCAGTTTTAAAGAAAAACGGTTCTATCTTGTCTGGACCTGAAGATTTTTTTAAAAAAAAGAAAAAAAAAAAATTAATAAAATAAAAAGACAAAAAAGGGGCAAAGGTGAACAGTTGATCAGGGTCACAAGGAACAGGGTCAAACCCTCCTCCATACCCCCCAGCTTTACTAGAGTCAAAAATTGAGCCAGCAGAAATAAAATGATTATTAAAGCTATTTGCAATGTCTATTTTACCCTTGATTTCGGTTTGATTCACCTGTAGAAGATCAGGAAGACTATTTGATGTGATAGAACCAGAGTATGATTTAACTAGTTTCCAAAACTTAGCAGGGTTATTCAAGTTTTCACTTATTGTGTTAAGATAATAATCACATTTAGCATTTTTGATTAATTTAGTGCATTTATTTCTTAATGTTCTATAAAGGGTCCAATCTAAGGGAATATTCGATTTCTTTGCTTTTGCCCAAGCGGCATTTCTTTGCCGGATAAGGGTGGAGATAGAATCATTAAACCAAGGGTTATCTTTACCACTTATCCTATATTTTCTAAAAGGGGCGTGC